GAGAGAGTCTAATTGACTGCTATTATTATGATTATTACAGAGCTGCTATTAATTATTAGTCATAGGCGTGTTACATTATATGACTGCTAATTATTACGTATTAATTAAGACTGCTATTATTACGTATTAATTCAGATGACTGTATAATTATTATGTATTAATTAATGACTGCTATTATTACGTGATTAATTAGGATGCAGTGCGTGACGGGACCGACTGACTCAGCACGAGGACAGCACGAGCGCGTCGGCTACAAGTTCACAGGAGATTTCGTGGTGAAGAAGACCTTGTTGACGGCTACACTCACGTGCACGCTCAGCCACAGTACGCTGTTACGCAACGCCATAGGTCCTCAGGTGCCATTCGATCGGCACTGCCTACGGGACATGAGAATTTCCGGCGGATTCGCGGATTTCCGGGTTCTTGCGTTCCATTTTGTCATTTTTTGAGATTGATGCGAAAAAAAAAACATAATAAAATTTGAGAGGGGGTAAAGCTGTACTATTTCTTATCGAATTGGATGCCATGTTTTAATTTAAACTTCATAAAAGCGTCCAGGAAAAGTTACTCGCAATTTCCACACCAGAGTAACGACACTCCAGGATAAACATCGCGGGGTGTATATAAAACATTGAAATTTTTTTAGAAAAATGACGCGTTAGGCATGAAATGGACTTACAATCTTCCCCAGGATGCATGTAAATGGGCCTATAGATGTGCACTTTCAAAATTTCAAGATTGCTTGGCGGGCATGCCCCCAACACCCCCTAGCAGGACAGTGTGCGATGCAAACTGAAGACACGAATTGAAATATTTCCTCCAAAAGCATCTCAACCTGTTCTCATGCCTGTGCAACTCCGACGGTGGCCAGTGATCGTGGTTGCTCTTCTTATTTGCCTTGGTTGCCTCCTTACTTGCCGTGAGGCGGGCGTTGGGCGTCCTTACTTGCCGTGAGTTGCCTCCTTACTTGCCAGTTGGTGCCGTCCTTAATTGCCGTGTTGCCCTCCTTGACTAGCGTGGGTCTGCCTTCCGCTTACTTGCGTAGTTGCCTTCCTTACTTAGCCGTGGTTGCCTTTCCTTACTTGCCGTTGTGTTGCCGTCGCTTACTTAGCCGTGGTTGCCGTTCTTACTTGCCGTAGTTGCCTTCGCTTACTAGCCGTGGTGCCTTCCTTAACTTGCCGTTAGTTGCCTTTCCTTACTTGCCGTGGTTGCCTTCCTTACTTGCCGTGGTTGCCTTCCTTACTTGCCGTGGTTGCCGTCCTTACTTGCCGTGGTTGCCTTCCTTACTTGCCGTAGTTGCCCTCCTATGTGGGTTTCATTTGAGTTTGATGAACAACGTCATAGCTTCTCTCTGTAATTCAGATTTCTGTTGGTTTCGTTTGAGTTTGATGAACAACACTGCTCTATATTGTGGGAATTATTTTGAGTTTTTCAAAGAACACCATAGTTTCTCTTTGGACTTCCATGGGTTTGAGAACAATGGAACAAACGGAGTTTGACGAACAACGCCATTTTGTTCCAGGTGTTCGAGGAACTCACGTACCTGCTGAACAGCGTGCGCCACGACAACAGCAGAGTGCTCCTGATTTCCAGCAGCATGAACGTGTTCTGCTCCGGATTAGACCTGCACTACTTCCTCAAGAAGCACTTCAATACAACTGAGAAGATGCTGGATGCACTCAGGTAGCGAGAGGCAGGAGTGCGAGCGAGGCAGGTAGAGCGAGGCAGGTAGAGGGAGGCAGGTAGAGGCAGGCAGGTAGAGCTAGGCAGGTAGAGGGAGGCAGGTAGAGGCAGGTAGAGGGAGGCAGGTAGAGGGAGGCAGGGAGAGGGAGGCAGGTAGAGGGAGGTAGAGGGAGTTGGAGCGAGGCAGGTAGAGGGAGTATGGCGGATGTGGCAGGGTGTAGAGATCTGAATGAGTCTTCAATGTACATTGTATCCTTACTCCAAATTGGAATGAATTCTCGGAATCGGAAACGTGAATGTGTGTCTATTGCGATCCAGTATTGTTTTGTGACCATCGCGCCCTAGAGTGAACGAGCGTTCGTTGCAGGTTGTTTCTCCTCGAATTGACCGCATTCCCCAAACCCATCGTGCTCGGCGTGAACGGAGCCGCCGTCGGCTTGGGGGCAGCACTGTTGCCGCTGTGTGACGTCGTCTATGCCAGCGATAAGGCGGTGTTCAGCATGCCCTATGCTCAGCTGGGGCAGACACCGGAGGCGGGCGCGTCCCACACCCTGCCGAGCCTGCTCGGTGGAGCTCTCGTGAGTTTTTATTTTCAGTTCATCGTCGTCGGCGTTCTCGTTCTCGTTTGTTCTCACTTTGTGGCTCTTCATCCTATAGATAGATAGATAGATAGATAGATAGATAGATAGATAGATAGATAGATAGATAGATAGATAGATAGATAGATAGATAGATAGATATAGATAGATGCGCCCATGATGCGCCGTATCTAGCAGCCTACCATCGATTCATGGTGATACGTATTTTGCTCACAAGATGTCGCTGCTTGTCAGAAGAGGACGGCGATCCCTGAGTGACTATTTACCACACAACGGCCCGTTGATATTACGGCGGGATGTATATAATCATCACCAAATAAATGGTTTAGGTAGGTAAGAGAACTATTAATTGACTGTACAGCTTCTTTTCGTATAATTTTAACTTGATCTGTCCTAGTCAATAGCGAAAATTCGATGAAGAAATGGCGCCGCGAATTTCTTTTTTTTTTCTATTTTTCGGGACGGTTGTTCGTGTGTCAGTGTCGATGGCCTCAGACAACAGGTCGATACGAAACTTTGTTTGCGAACTTAACAACTGTTGCTTATGTTGTTATTTACAGTGGATCGCGTACGCACCATATGTTTGTAAACTGCTAAAAAAAACACGTCGGAATTTACCTAATAATCACGGTGCGTGTAATCACTTTACATTTTTGTTGTTTCAGATTGCCGAAGAATGCTAGCCTTATTCAGGCTTGAGACAACAATAGGATTATTATTGTTCCTCCCTGCTGATAATGCTGGTAGCAACGTGAACGTGGGTTCAATCATGTAAATGAAAGACGAGGTTTCCTATAGCTTTATCGGCAGAACTTTGACATTGGAATTTGAATTTCCAGCAGCAAATAAAAAAGCGTAGTCATACCCGCTAAGTAATTACGTGATGGCGTGTACTGTTAGTTTTTATTATATTAATCAAAGAGACTCATTTATAGTATTTTGAGACACTGAATTTACTATGACTGACCTCTTTGATAAGAAGCCCGAGTTTTGGACCTCGTCTAATGAAAAGTTGCTGACACCTACTGTTGCAAAAATCTGTACCCAGCCCGCTTCAGAAGCCAAAAGTACAGTCACCGATGGGGAACTCTCGCGGAACGCAGAGACATCTCGAGATACGGGCACTGAAGCAACGATGAGCAGCACAACTGAGGTCGCACTGCAGAATTCGTTAGACGGCGACGATGCAACCGTTCCGACGGACTCCGTTGAAGTGCGTGAATCGATCCCATGTCTCGAGGATCGGCAGAGCGGCGATGGCGGAGTAGCGAGCGAGCGCTCGGACTCCCGCACGCCGACCAGCGACGCCGCGGAGAGGCAGGCAGAACCGCTGCGCAAGAGCAGCCGCTTAGAGGCGAAGGCAGCCGAGAAGAAACAAGGAGGAGATGCCAGTTTGCAGGAGACAGCGTCCCCCTCTAACGATGTGAATGCTGATTCCAGTAAGCAAGTGATCGCTCCTGGCGAGGTCTCTACAGCTCGCGTGCGACGGTCGTCGAAAGAGGACAGAAGCAACAGCAGCACGTCTGTTGACGTCAGTTCGTGGATGAAACCCGTTGGGAAGGTTATCTCTCAGGTGACGGCTGGCAGCAGAGATCGGCCGTGCGTGAATGGTACTGCCTGTGCGTCCTCTAGCGGAAATCTGCTGCAGGTGAACCTAGACAGTAACGACATTACCACTGATATCATAAGCATATTGGACAGACACGAGTCAGTAGGGAAAAATGGCAGTGCACACAGTGTGGATGCACATACTGCCGTGCCCTCGCCGGTAAAAGCAGAGAAACCAGAACCTCTACTGTTTTCAGAACTAACACACACAGCGACAAAAGAGTGTGCTAGTGCGGTGGCAGGCCAGTGCAGTGATCAGGTCATAGCAAAATGTGAAAACCCCCCGCAGGTGTCGCCATGTTTCACGAAAACGCATGCTGTCCGAACGGATCTGCTACAGGCAGAGATTGATTCTAAGACTGATTCTAAGACTGGATTGATACCGAGTGGGCAAGGTCTTCAACGCCACACTGGAGAAGCTGTAACTACGATTTCCACCGACGGTGGTGTGTGCGTGCGAAATACTGGCCTGCTGCAGATCAGCTCTGATTTGCCCAGCCAAGATACCTTGCCGAAACGATCGCCACGGGTAATGAACCTCGAGAAGATGAGGATGTGTGCGAAAACGGCATCGTCCGCGGCAGCGAGTGATGCTGCGCACGACAAAACGCACAAGCCTGCGTGCGATGTTTCAGTAAACCTCGTCGATAAAAAAGGCTCTGCTGCAAATTCGGAAGGCAACCTTTGTTGCCGTGGTGATTTGCAGGGAGCTGAGGTCTCCATGGCGGTAACAGTCAGTACAGCTGCGGTCACTACTGTGGGAGCTGACAAACCAGTCACGAAGCGTGAACAGTGTGATATCCCATCCACTGCTGATGAGCATGGCCTAGATGCGGCAGGATTCGTCAAAGTGCGCGGCGATATAAGCAAGAAGAGACCGGCCACGTTGTTGAGTGGCGGCAATGCGATATCGATCACAGCGTGTGCAGAAAATGCTGCGGAGCGGAGCACTGTGAGTGAGAAGCCAGCAGTATCTTCGTCAGCGGTGCAGAAGACCGGCAGAGCAGACGCTCACCCGGCCTCCCTTCCATCGCAGACTAGCATCGCCCAGGTGACCTCGGCCAACTCTAAGCGTGTCGTCAAGCCGTCGTACAAGGTTGCGATCGGACTCGAGCAGCGAGAGAAAACGTCGCCAAAGTCGGTGCAGAGTCAGAGTCTTTCAGAGCTGTCGTTCTTGACGGCGCGGCGATCCAGTTGTCCTCCGTGCAGTTCTCCCGAAGGCAGCGCGTCGCCTGCGGACAGCCCCGTGAAGAAGCTGCTGCCGCTCAGCATCGACTTGGGTCCGCAAGCGCATCTCAATCGCAAGTCGAAGCTGAGAGCAAACTATTCGGTGAAGGGACCAAAGTCGCCCCCGAGGGAAAAGGCTAGCAAGGCGTCCGGGGAGCAGGATTCGTCGGGGCTGTCGAGCGTCGAGAGGCAAGTCGAACGTGGTTGGACGCTGGAAGCCATTGACTCGCCGCGTAGCAGCAGCCCGGCGGAGGCGATAAAGCGTAAATTCAGTCGCGAAGCGGAATCCCGCGACGCCACCGCACCGAAAAGCGTGCCAAATACTCTCACCACGGGTGCGTGCAAGCCAATCAGCGTCACCCTTCACGCGGACGCTCAGGACAGATTTGTCGGCAACAAGAATCAAGCCGACGAGGCAGAGAAGAGCGCTAACCACAAACCGATCGACGGAAGTCCGAACTCCAAGGTCACAACGAAAGGGTTAGTTCAAGCCGAGCGTAGCGCGGTGCTTGAGTCTCCCTCGCCAAGCTCTGCAAGCTCGCAGAGCGAACAAACTCGGCCAAAGTGCCGCACGAAAACTATCGACGTGTCAGACAAATTCCGCGGTGCATCTGCGGCTACCGTGCTGCCCTCTAGGGGTCGTCGCGTCGCCGTCGCGGCGATCCGCAGTAAGCGGATCGCGCGGAAGGCGGCTGGAGCGCGGCCGGGGGCGCGGCGACGCATGCTCGACCAGCTCGACTGCGAGTACCTGTCTCGTCTGAAGCAGGGCGGCGCGATCGCTCCTCGGCGCGCGCGTATCAAGACGCTCGGCATGTCCTACAACGAGACGGACATCATCAAGAAGAAGTTCAGCAGCAGCGCGGAGAAGACGGCCAAGTCGCGTGCGTCGGCTGCCGGCACGAAGGTCGGCGCGAAGGTCGTCTCGTCGCCGCCGATGCCCCCGCGCCTCAATAAGAAGCTCAACGTGCTCATGGGATGCTTTGTGACGACAGCGGGCGCGCACGGCGGCTCGTGCGACGATGCGCGGGGCCGGGGAGAGAATTCGGCGAGCCTTGCGGAGTCGCCCCAGAAGCTGCTCATACTCAATGCCTCGGAGAAGGCGGCCAAGACGATACTGAACAAGTACAAGAAGGGCAGAGCGGGGGAAATATCGCTGACGGCTCCGAACGCGAACGAGGAGCCGGCAAAGAAGAAGAAGAAACTAGCAAAGGATGCTGACGCTCAGAGAGAGAAACCCCCCACTCTGCAATTGGCAGGGTCTGCGAAAAGGATAAATTTGCCTGGTTCGGCAGTTGGCAGCAATGGTAAGGAGACGATTTTGTGAATATTGCATAGCTGTATCATACACTGTTTGCAATTATAGTATGAAAGTCTAATCAATAAAAATGAATAAGGTTTATAATGTTATAAATAATAGATATAAATAACAGTCATGTTAAACATGAGTAAGTAATTTGCTGATGTTATGTTCTTGCACAGTGGGGAAGACAACAGGGACAGCCGGGAATTTTGAAGGGCGTGGAGGAAGCTCCCCTCTAAAGACTTATGGGAAACCCAGGTCACCCGCCAAGCCACAGCTGCTGTTTGTGAACTACAAGAAAGACGGTTCTACTGGTTAGTAATGTTAGACTAATTTGGTTCCTAGAGCCAAACCACACCAACTGATACTAGTTCTAAGAGATGCTGGGCATATCTAGTATATCTAGTATATGTAGTATGTATAGGTGATCACTGATCTCTTCTTTGTATAGTTGTATTCATGAGTAATGTCTATGTTATACTAAGCCAAGGTTGCACATTAACGTCACTGCTATTCTCAAACTTTTCAGAGTGCAGTTACGCAACCAAGGAAGTGACACTCGCAGGCAAGGAGATTTGTATGTCGATGCCGACCAATGTGAAACCTGTGCTAAGTGAGAACACTTCTGCTGGCATTATCTCTACTCAGAAGCAGCCTGCGACTACGGTGCTAGCTGGTAAGGAGTGTTACTCTCATTAGAAGGTATATACTCAGTGTATCTGACACGGTTGTCACACGGTCGAGTGTGTATGTGAGGTTGGGGAGTCACTGACTTAGAGCGGACTGAGTCAAGGGCGGATCCTCTCGAGTGATACTGTACAACAATCGTTTTACGGCCGTTTTCCCTGTTTACGCGGGGGTTGGTCGGGAGCTCCCCGTGACAGTCTCATTCACTTTGCGCGGTCTTGTGCGTCTTCACTCTTCAACCCATGTT